TCTTGCTTCATTTTCTCCCAATAAATAGAAACTTATGTATCATCCTTTTTGCTCATGCGACTTCCTCTTTGGGATTTCAGTTATCCCAAAGACAAAACAGAGGGGTGTATCTAATAGCATGACCTACTGTATTCTCCTTATGGTATTACATACATTGTAATGTAGAAGAGTATTGTCCAATAGAACTTTCTGTGATGATGTGAGTGTTCTCTTATGCAGTGCCCATTATGTTAGCCGCTAGACACAACTCATTACAGAGCACTAGAAATGTGGCTAGTGTGATGGAGAAGCTGAATTTTCTCTTTTTTTTTTGTTTTGTTTTTTAATTTTATTTAAATCCAAGTTAGTTAACATAGTGTAATAATGATTTCAGGAGTAGGATTTAGTGACTCATTACTAACGTATAACACCCAGTGCTCATCCCAACAAATGCCCTCCTTAATGCCCATCACCCATTCATTTTAATTAATTTATAGATTCACGTGACGCTAAGAACTCCACAGGGAACATTCCTTTTACAAAACACTCTCATACTGGCACGCATCAACTATTTTATTCAAAGGTAATATTTCATCAAATATCCTCCTACTAAAGAATTTGTTTTGCTTTCTTTTTTAGCCTGCTTTTGGAAATACTGTGTCTGAAGTTTTCTCTCTGGATACAAAAGGATAAGAACATTAGAAAAAGATACACATCTACTCATGACTGCTTAAAGATTGTAGCTATTTTCAGCATAAAGAAATGGTGGCATTTATTTTGCATACTGTATGCTTAAGGTTTAGGTTTTGAATAAAGGCAAATCAGTTGCACTTTTGCATGGCATGGGCTATCAAGTGACCTTGTAGTGCTGAAACTGGCAATGCCGTCTGTATCTATTGGATGCTTTCCATAGATTCATTGTCTACATATAGTTTTGTTTGGTGATGACTCTGCTTTTGAGGTATCAATTAAAATGTTTTAAAAAGTGGGGCACCTGGATGGCTCAGTTGGTTAAGCCTCCGACTGCGGCTCAGGTCATGATCTAGCCCTGAATGGGGCTCACTGCTGTCAGGACTGTCAGCACGGAACTTGCTTCAGATCCTCTGTACCCCTCTCTCTCTGCCCCTACCCAGCTCATGCTCTCTATCTCAAAAATAAATAGGCATTAAAATAAAAAAGTAAAATATTTTAGGGGCGCCTGGGTGGCATAGTTGGTTAAGCATCCAACTTCAGTAGAGGTCATGATTTCCGGGCTCCTGAGTTTGAGCCTCATGTTGGGCTCTGTGCTGACAGCTCAGAGCCTGCTTCCGGTTTTGTGCTTCTCTCTCTCTGCCCCTCCCCTCTCACACTTTGTCTCTCTCTCTCTCAAAAATAAATAAACATTAAAATTTTTTTAAAAAACAGAATATTTTAAAAATCATCTTGGAAAATTAAAATAGATTTAATTATATGAACTTATGGAAAAATATGCATATTGTCCCTTGTCTTTCTTATGATTGTGCAAGCTATTATCTCTTTTCTGTACATTTGGACAATTGTCACTGAAACTACTACCACCAAATGAATACATTCATTACTGGGGGCAGGAATATATGGTTTATTGGACTCTGGGAGAAAGTAATACCAGATGTCTCAGAGATAGACAACTTCCTTATGAAACAATTTGCCTTTTGGTTTCTTAACTCTCATCTCTGCCCCCTGCACAGCATCACGAACTCTTTGAAACTCAGCATGTCTATAAGAGATTGGATTTGTTGTGCTACAAAATAAACAAAACAAAATTGCTTATTGGCTTTCTCTTGATTCTTTTTTTCCCTTTTCACATCTATACATCAAACTGCTCTTGCTTACATCTGAACAAGCTCATTTAGTCAATTCAAGGCAGGGAATTCAACTTCAGTTTTGTGTGTCAACTGTGCTATCCCAGAAACATTGTCAACTAAAATAATATTAAGGACTAGACTAGATGGTGAGGCCAGTCTGCTCACACTGTCTTAATTCACAATCTGGGGGAAATGCAGTTTATTTACATAATATCAATTTTGTGGTGCTTAAAGAGAAAACTATCTCAGAGTGTGAACCATATTGCTTAAGTTGAAAAAAACATAAAACAACCAAGTTGAGCGATTTATCTATAGTGCTATATATATACTACACTTATTAAGATCCACTCAAATGTACATAAATACTAGTTGCTCAATAATGCCTGATTATTCCTCCATATTTATAGCAGTTATAAACAGGAACATAATATTGTAATAAAGACAAAAATTCTTGCTTTCATCATCTCATGTTTCTTAAAGTTGGAACAGTTAAACAATACGCAGGCAGTTTGAATCTTCAAGAGTAAGGTCACACAAAAAGGTTTTTGCTACTTCTTCCATTTAGGAGAATCCATTAAATTATCTTTTAATCGTTTGCTTTAAGGAATTTAATTCTCTAAAGCTATCTGTAGATTAAAGGTAGAATTTGTTAGACTTTCTGTAGCGTGAGTAAATTTTAAGATGATGTAGCATCATAAAATATCTCTCATAAAAAATTTGTTATGTAATTGATGACAGAACACAGAAATCCATATTCACAGTCTGCTCTGTGAAGCTTCACAAATGAATGAGATAAATTGTCATATTCTGAACAGAAATTATGTTTTACTTTCCTGCTATGTTAAAAGAATGGCATATTTCAAACTGGTGTACCACTGATTTATTTTCTACTTTGTATAAGTAGTGGCAGAAATTAAAACATGAAATAAAATAGTTATAAGTGAAGAAAACATTCTTTTGTTTTTGTTCATTAAAGTCTTGTATATATATTATGAGATAGATGCATTATTACACATTATAATAGAATATAAATCCATACATTGTGACCTCTGACTTTAATCAAAAGGAATGCCATAAGCATAACTTTGCATTAAAAAAATAAAGGTGATAGGAAATCAATTTGTTTAATTCACCTTTAAACCTTCACCATGAGAAAATTTTAGGCTAAAGTAGGCTCTAATGCCTTTTGTCAATGCATGAAGCAGTAGCACCCAGGTGGATTAGAAGCTTACAAATAATCAAATGGGAGAAAAAGGGAAGAAAGAACCTTTAAGGAATAGAACACATTTCTAAAATTCAACAGAAGGTTGGGGAAAGGTGGCGAGAGACATTCTAACTTCTTCTTAAATAACTCTCAAATAGCAGATCCTACAAGACATTTTCCCATGTACCACTGCTAACTTTCTAATGCAAGTTAGTGAAAAACAGAATTGGTTAGCTCTCTTGAAATTCATTTCTCCTTGCTATGTATAGCCCATCTACCATAATTAACAGAATCATTCACTTATTTTTTTTCTAAATGTAAATTTGAAGATTTTCAGCAGCTGAAAAAAATTTCCCCCAAACTAAGAATTTATATACAAAGCCATCTGTATTCTAAGTGCATATGTTCATTTCTATGTTTCTTTGAGTTCATTTTATTCTTTGGATCATAGAGTTATTCAATTTTAGTTAAAATTAACAGCTATCCATTTCTCGCCTCTTGTTATATGCATTTACCTTCTCATAACATTCTTCCTTTTTATTTTAAAATAAATCTCTGCCCTATTGATCAAACTTTTCTCCTCACATATATCAGGTTCATCTGACAGTGATTGTTAAGGTTTAAAGAAGTTTTTCAGAGGCTTTACACACTTCTGCTACTGTCTGGTTCAAGAAACATGTTATCTTTGTGTTTTGAAGGCATACCCAATGCACTATGGGCTTATGTGCCTAAGTTGCAGTAATATCATACTTATTGTTGAGAACTGAGCTTTCCAGACTATCAAACTTTTTACTTTGATAGACCACTTAAAAATAATTGGAATCATTTAAAGAAATCATTCTTAAACACATTGTACTTTTCAATGCCTTTTTAAGCACAATATATGAAACGAATCAAACAGTTTCTTAGGAAGAATCAGTAGCATCAAGAAGATTGATTATTGTACTGTGCTAAAAAGTACGGTGCTAAAATTATGTGTACTTAACAAGCCTCTGACTGGTCCAGTGGTTTACTACTTGGTGTTTCTTTGCCTTCTTCCTTACTTTCCTCTGTTACTCCTGTGTGGCTATTCTCATAATCAGCCACTGCTACTCTTAATTAACTACCAGCTGTAATTTAGAGAAAAGGAAAGTTGTTAGGGGCCATGAGATGTCCAAACCTGACAAATGATTGATATCTTTCACTTCCTATTTCTGTCAATATGTTCTGAGCTGCAGGTATTTTTTTCAGTTCTTTGGAAGAATAAAATTGATGGCCTTAATTACTGTTGTTTTTTCCTGGCTTATACATCTTTCTTCTTTTATTTCTGGAACTGGGGCTATGCTTTATTTGATTGAACCTTACTGAAATTTGAATACACTAAGAGAAGCCTAATTTCATAATCATTTCCAAGAGGCTCACAGGAAAAGGATAAAAGAGAAGTAAAATATTTAAGAGAACATACACTGTCTTATCTTTCTGTGTTCCTCAATAATGAACAAATAGATCCTACCTAAGTTTTACAGAAACAAATCAGTCTTCAGTTATTATTCTTCAATTGCATACATGTAAGTGGAAATATAGAAAAGCATTTCACTGTATTGTGTTTTTTTATTGCTTCTTAGAAAAGTAGGGTTTGGGGCCAGCTAACCGTTCCTGTTAGCTAAAATGTATATTTTAAAAATATCCATACATTGAAATGGTCTGCATAATTTAATTAAAGCTGTAACAATACTGTGATGTGATGGACTGCAGTTCAAACTGTGGAAGGGATTTGCAGAAGGTCAGTTCCTTAAAAGTTTAATCATTAAGGGAGTGTAAAGAACTTCACTGGAGCATCTTCCGTGTTTCTGTGGCATTTCACCCAAGGAAGTTGTGTCTGCAAAAATGAAAGTTGAAATTGTTAAAGCTATTGAGAACTCCATAGATAAGGGGAATACCATCAACTTCGCTTGAGAAGAACGAAAACTACATGATGTTTCATTATAGCTTTTATTTCTAGGACATGTTTTTATTGCAAAGACAATAATGCAAAATGGCAATTACAGATCAAAATGCATTAAAAAGAACATCTTCAACGTACAAGCTAGGTGCTTAGTCTCAAGCCACAGTTGCTTTCTTTGGGTACCTGCTGCATTTTATTTCTTTTCCATTTTCAATCTTGGTTCAACGATGTTGCCATGACATAGAAAAGAAAGATAAAGAAAATCTGACTACTACTTTCTGTTTAGTGCTATGGTAACATATTGATAATTGTATATTTCGCTCTAACCAGGACCAACCATAATGCTGGAATTTAAACATCATATTTCTGCTCTTTCAGAGATCTGTTAATATACTTGAATGATAGTGTATCAATATTGTTCTAAAATAAAAAAAACTCCAGTATAATAAAGCAACATGTCTTACATTCTTTTTTTTTTCCAATCAAATGAAATTAAACATTTATTAGTTGCTTACAATAGGCACAATGCTAAGTTCCCTTGTACTCAAGGGTCTCAAAATCTAATAGGGTAGGCATACAAGGAAGCAGAAAAACAAAAAACCCACAAAACTGTAAAGTGTGACAGTGTCCTAGTGGCTGCATGCACAAGGTTCTGTTGGAAACTTGGAAATGAAAAAAAGCAACATATGTCTTACATTCTTAAAAGTCTTAGTACCTGTGACAGCAAGGGGTCGCATAATCAATAGTCATCTTCCTACCAAATTTCATCAGGAAGGCATCCTGATTTCAATGGCAAAGACCTAGAACTTGCTAACTGCATCTAGAGAAGCTATGAAACCTTAGATAAAACACCTCTCTGAATCTGAGTTGTTCAGAGCGGAAGGCTATAAAAAACTCAGAATTTTGGTCCAATATGTTAATGACTTGAGGAAGACATTTTGCAAGTACCAGATTGTCTTCCTTTCCAAAACACATAGCAGAGAAGAGGTTAGCCTTTCTTCTGCAAACGAGGTAACATAGAGCAGCTGTATCTAGACCTAAACTCAAAATAAGCAAAACTTCCACGATTAGAACCAGTTTCATTTTTAGTGTGAAGACTTCAAGTGAAACCCAGAAGGTGAAAACCCACAAATAAACCTGCTCTAAAAGAGCCTGCATTAACTCCCACAGAAGCGGAACAAAGATTTTCACAGTCTGACACACTGCTTCTGTTTGTTTAAAAAATGTCTAAGCAGAGAAGTTGGCATCCAGCAATGACAACTTACACCCTGAAGACCTTACAGGTGATGAAGAGAACTCTGGCCTAGAAGTCCAGAGACTTGGATCCTGGACGTTGCTCTGTCTGAGAGTCTGTAACATTTTGAGCAAATCAATTTCCTCTCACAGACCCAGTGTCCACATTTGTCAAAAACAAAACAGAAAGAGGATTGGATTAAAAGAGCCCTTACCTTCCTGAATCTCTCAGTGACTTAATCCAAAAGATACTGTACTAATAAGAAATAATAAACGAAAATTTTTAAAAAGTTAAATGGAAATTAGAAATCTACTTTTATATTTGTTTTTATTCATAAACTATAAAACATAAAACTTCACATGAGGAAGTAAAAAAGCATCTGAGAAATCCTGGTGATCATGGCAGGAAATAATGAATAGAAACCTAATGGCTGAATGGGTGCACCTGTAATGATTGACAAACGGGGAAAAAGAAAATATATGGTGTTAAGTTTTATTCTAAACCTGTTCTTTGTGATATTACTATCTTGAAATTTTACCCAACAAAGCCTTTTAAATGAAGGACATAATATACTAATTTGGATTTCACCCACAGGGATTCAGAAGACATTATATTAATTTAGCTACCTTTTCAAAGTTTGGTATCTATCTGGAGTTTATATGGTCTAAAACTTCATATGAAAATGAGTTTCCTGTGTGGTTTTTTTCTTATCATAACCTTTTTTGGCTTAATTCAGAGATACTAAAATGTAATCAAGGGTGTCCAAGGTGATAGAGTACAGGTGGAAACTAATTAAAGTTTTAATCTGTGTCATAATGTTCTCAATACATCAAGCAACTGGAGGAATATGATCCTGGTTTCAAGGACTTACTTGGTTTGTAATGGCAATTAGTTAGATCCTTCTCGAATATAAGGTGGTGATTTTTAACAATCCAAAAGAGTGGCCATACTTGGTATATCTCTAGATGTAAAGAAAGCCTGATCTACGTTTTGAAGACGGTACTGCTCAAAATGCACCGTTCGTCACAGTATTCATTAAGTCTCTCTATATTTGTGGGCATTCAGTAACTTCATAACTTCATTGATCAAGGCCTCCGTGGGCAAAAAAAAAGATTATTTTAACTAAGTCATTCTGAGAATAAGAAAGTTGAAGTAAAACACTGACTTCTCATTGTGGTTTAGGGCATTTGACGAGAAAAAACAGGCACGATTTAAATTGAGAGGTTCAGGGCTAATGTGCTGCTCTTGGGGACTCCGTATCTTTGGTTTTTAAGGATCATCTTGAGAGAAACAAAAACCAGAGTTTTCTCTTCTGTAGCTTGAAATTGGTAAAACAAACAAACAAACAAACAAACAAAAAGTTCCAGGTTGTCTTAGCTTCTAGGAGGGAGGATGCATTCTTGGTAGCCTTTCCTGGCAAAAAAATATATTACCTAGATTTTATGTGTAACATTTAGTGTTTAAAACATATAATGTGTATGACTAAATGCACTTGTGAAAATATAAGCTCAGGATTTTAGGTTTTTGGATTTGAATGCTACTTATATCACTTACTAGCTATATGGCATTGTGAATTAATTAATATATCTAAGCTTTGTACTTATTTGTATAATAATATATTAATAATACTGAGTACTACATGTCAGACACTATTCTAAATGTGTAATTTATACCAATAGATTTAGTCTTCTGGACAATGTAATGTGATAGAACTTTTTATTATCCTCATTTTATGAAGGAGGATTTCAGAATTTCAACAAGGTTCCATGGCTAACAGACAGATGAACTGGGATTTGACTACAAAGCTGAGCTCTCAATTTCACCCCTTTTACTATACTGCTTCTCAAGGTACTGGAAAGAGTAATATGACCTACTTTATGGAACAGGATGATTAAATGAAGCAATATGTGCACAGCACTAAGTATAGGGTCCAGCACAGAGTAAATTTACGGAACTGTAATCTAAGATGTTATCACTTGCATGTACTGTGTGTCCAATACATTCTAGAATTACTATATGCATCTAATTTAATATTCACAATACCACATTATGTGTCACAATACATTCACTATGTTATTACCTAAGTGTACAAGATGTAGAGGAATAAGATATTGTGAGGGAAACAAGATAATGAGTGAGTGACAGAACCAGCATTTGGATTAGGTGTTCTGATTCTATGACTATACTCTTTCTGCTACATCCTTCCCTTTCCTATGTTCTAAGTTATCATTATTCTGGGAACGTAGTTATTGGCAACAAAATGATGTGTGTCGCTGAAATGTGTCTTCTTAATAGAGGGATTACTACACAGTTATATGTGTAGCATATGCGAAGGTGATTTATTACATCAATTAGAACTTTAGCCATTGTTCACATATTAATATTCAATAATTGAGTAAGAATCTGTGAGAATAACTGAATCTTTTTTATGGCAAAGTGTATCTAGGACATTCTTTTGCTTCTTTAATGTCATTTAAATTATTTAGCATCAATATATTATTGAGTACAGAAATGTTGAAAAAGTGATTTTATAAGCTAAGAAATCAAAAGGGCAGTTTATAAATCAAAATGGATCAATTAGCCCATGGTGAAATATTAATTGGAAGCCTGCGTATATTGTTACTTTGTCAAATTGTACTCACAGTTGGAATCAATTAGCCTCTGGAATTTGAGAGACGATTTCCACCAATCCGATCCACAGGGATACCAAATCGCCTTTTTGGATGATCTACTATTTTCCTGAAATAAACCAAGTAGAACATTTTTAAGCTGAAGTCCAAGTTATTAATTAATGACGTTTGCTCCTTTATTTCTTGCAGATCTGGGCACATTCTTTAGGAGTTGGAATACATATGATAGTTACCATTCATCAGCACCCACTGTATGCCAGACACTATCTCTTATCCTTTCAACATCTGTCAAAGTGGGTATAACTACCTCCAGTTTTTATCTGAGGAATCAGAAGCTTAGAGAAATTAAGTGACTTATCCAAAATCAAATAGTGCAGATGAAAAGTTGGGTCTTGTTAGCATATCAATCTGGTAGGTGTTTAGCTTGGGTAAGTCCCTTCCTCTCTCCAAATGTTGGTGTATTCATCTGAAAATGGAAGAAGATTGAAGTAGGTCAGTGGTTTTCCCCAATCTCTGCCTCAACGTGGTTCTTTAAGGGAAAAATGGTGGTGGGGGAGAAAAAAGTGCAGATGACAACACTGAATGTGGAGTGAGTGTGCCTCTCATGTCTCCCCTCGGATTTTACCCAGAGATCCTTTGCACACAATGGTCTTTGTCTGTTACATAGTCTCTGTGCCAAATACTGTTTGGGAAAAAAAAATAGCTTCATTATTAAAATAAATTTTAAAAATCCTACAGGAGGTCTTCTAGCTTGTATGTTCTATCAATTCTCTCGTTAGAAAAAAGAAACATTTTAATTTGATTTGTTATTGCCATCCCTTAGTTCTATTAAATCAAAACCCTAATAAAGGAGGTTTCAGAGTGCTCAGTACATAACTTTCACTGGCCATGGAGCTACGAGAAGTTTTGAGTCTTCCTAATGAAGATAGAGACAATGTAATCAATTTTCAACAGCTTAAAGAGTTAAAAAGCTTTGTTTCAGAACATTTTGAATAGTTTCTATTCTAAATATTTGCATTATATTGTCAATATATGCTACACAATTTAAACACAAAAAACTAATGAAAACTTCAATATCTATTATTTTTTCCTATTATCATTTATGATGTAGGTGCTATAAATAAGGTTATTTTTGTGATTGTCTTGGGATTGATAAGTCAGACACAGTTTTGCTTTCAAAAACCTATAATTAAGTACTCACAGATGGGTAACGAGTTAATGAAAACAAGTAGAAGAAAAAATCTCTCATTTTTATTGATGCCAAATTTTTGCCTTCATTATCAATGTTCGTCATATTACTATTAGGTAAAAAATTTATTTAAAAACTCTGAAAAGTATAGATAATATTGGGGATTATATAGGTAAAAATATAGATAATATAGGGGATTTTTATTGCTGTGTCTTACACATAGAACAGTCTATAAACACTGCTTGATTGTAATTAAAACAATAGATTTGGTGGTAGTTAATATTTACCTAGTGCTTTGTACTACGGTTTGTACTGTGTAGAAGAAGATGATAAAAACAGACGTTGAACCTGATATGGGTCTTATTCCCAAATGATATTGTAGGAATGAGGCCATGTTATGGGTTTTGTTTAACATCCATCTTCCTTTCCAAGTTGACCCCTAGTTTCACTAGTCAGTGCAGGTAGTGTTGTATGTATGATCTTATAAGGCTGTCTGCTAGACAATAGTTTGTTAAGTGGGGAGAAAGCTGAGAAAAAAATATTTAGTGCTTATCCTTAATGGAGACATACCTCTGCCTCTATTCTTCAGATTTCTGAAAAACATGCCTCCTTAAGGGGCGCCTGGGTGGCTCAGTTGGTTAAGTGCTTGGCTTCAGTTCACGGCCTGATCTCACAGTTCATGAGTTTGAACTCTGTGTTGGGCTCTGCACTGACAGCTGAGCCTGGAGCCTGCTCCAAATTCTGTCTCCCTCCCTCTGTCTCTCCCCCACTCATGCACCCACTCTCTCTCAAAAAAAAAAAAAAAAACATAAAAAATATTTTTTTAAAACATACCTTCTTAAGTGATGTCTATCATTTGTACTTCTGGATTTCTTGATACTACATAGACTACATATTTTTTTGACTTGATAATCAAAGAGGAAACATGTTATCAGTCAAATTAGCATAAAATTAATAATGAAGAATCATAGGGAAATTATGTATATAAATTGTGCTTTAGGTATTCCGATATCATTATAAATAATTACTGTTGAAAAAAAGAAAAAAGTCTCTTTTCTATTTTGTTTCATTCATGTGAGTAAATTTATAGACTTTTATTTTAAGCAGTTATTTTCCTTGTGGTAGTAAGAATAAGTCCTCCTCAAAGATGTCGACACCATAACCCACAGAATCTATAATAAGTATGTCACATTACATAGCAACAGAGACTTTGCATGTAGGATTAATAACGACCTTGAGATGAGAAGATTATTCTGGATAATCTGGGCATGCCCAATCTGGTTTAGACTCCTTAAAAGTCGAAGATGATTGAAAAAGAATGGGTCACAGAGAAGGACTTAACCCACCACTTCTGGCCTTGATGATGAAGGAAAAGATCAAGAATCAAGAAATGCTGTGACCTCTAGTTCTCAGAAGGAAATAAGAACATCAGTCCTACAGCCAAAATGAACTGAATTCTGCCAACAACTTGAATGAGCAGAAAAAGAATTATTGTTTATAGTCTCCAAGGAGTACGGCTTGCTGATCTCTTCACTTCTTATCCAGCTGGCTGATGAGGAGAAAGAGAACACAGAGTAGCTAGCAGGGAGAAATTGAGAGGCTATCCAGTGACTAGCAATCAATCATATGGCTGCACTTAATTGAAGAGGAGATGGAGAAAAGCTGTCTAGAATGACATATGGTGATTGTTGTATCAGACTTCTGACCTACGGAATTGTAAGATAATAAATTTGTGTTGTTGTAAGTCTAGAAGTTTAAGGTAATTCATTACCATAGCAATAATATAGCTATGTGTGATTTATATATGCTTGTGTGATTTAGAGTTATATCTTAGGGTAATTCATTTTTATTTATAAAACAAATAGACTGATGCAATTTCTTATTCTTTGAACCCTTCAGTTCCTTTACTAACTACCCCCATCGTAACTCCAGGAAAGGGGTAAGGTAGAAGCCATCTCAGGGTGGAGGAGAGTGCTCAGAAGTCCCAGACAAGTAAGAAGAGGAAGTGAGAAACCAGCACCTTCCAGGTGTTTAAAGGACTGGTTCAGAAGGGGAAGGAAATGGCAGCTGGGAAAGAGAGTAGTGCCACTCATGTGAATTGACCTCCCAAAGCACCTGTGGGATAGACGGTGGCAGGAAAAGTAACACTTCTGCTTTTTAATTTTTAAATTTATTTTTTAAGGTTTATTTATTTTGAGAGAGAGAGAGAGAAAGCATGTGCATGAGTGTGTGTGGGGAGGAGTCCGTTGTGGGGCTCCATCTCACAAAGAGTGAGATCATGACCTGAGTGGAAATCAAGGTCTGGACGCTTAGCCGATTGAGCCACCCAGACGCCCCTGCTTCTGCCTTTTTAAAGGAAAGCATGATGATCTCATGCATCATTATAAATTAGAACAGAACATTTATTAGTTCATAGTACCAATGCATTTTTTTTTCAAAAATAAAGATACAATAAATGAAAAGAGCATTTTTTTTCTTTCTTTACTACAGTTGATCTTTTTCTGCTCAAGCAAATAAGAGGCAGTTGTAGAATGGTCAAAAGCAAAATAATTTTTTTCCATCCTTCTTTTCTCACTCCATGTTATTTCCTTCCATTCTTTCTCCAAGATTTGATTAGGAATCAGGACACGAAAGTCTCAGATTCTATTTGATTCTTCTACTTAATTGATGGTGTGAGCATTTGTAAGACTGTTGTCATTCTGAGCCCATCTTTCGTTTTTGATAAAATTTAGATAATACCTGCTCTATCTTCCCGGCATGGTTATTTATTTAACATACTTATTTGTTTAGTAATATTTGATTGCTTTATGCACAATCATATGTATTTGTTGTCTGCACTAGGGATAGAGTGGTAAATAAGACATGCATTAGCTGTTAAAACTCTCATTAGTTGAAAAAACTAATGAGATAACACACCGGAAATCATTTTATGATTTCCATTTACCATTCTTTTCTATAAGTCCTGTCCACGGGTTTTCAAACAATTTGTAGTTTACCATTTCTACAAGTAAAAGCTTTATAAAAGAGGCCAATACCTAGAATGTTAAGTGAAGACCCCTGTCAGTAAAGAAGTGCCCCTCCTTCTCCATATATAGTGGCCCCTGAAAGTGCTTCCCAGAAACACTTAAGGGTACTTAGAGCAGCATTTGAAAGCCACTAGCCAAGTGCATATGAATGTTTTTGTTCTAGCCATAGATCCATAATTACTCTGATTCATTTTCTAAAATTTGGGATTTGTTTCAAATGCTCACATGTGTCTTGAAATCAAATAAGAAAAATAAATAAAACATATATGAAAAACAATTCAGTATTTATAATTTTTAGCACTAATACAAATGGAAACAATTATTCTCATAAAGCAGAGAAACCAAAAACATGATCATAGCTGAGTAAGTTATTTCTACACTGTCTCTGTCCATTTAGAAGTAAAATGGCACGCTACTATTTATCTTTACATTTTTGCTGATAGGAAATATATAACACAGTACTAAACTCTATAACACATACACTTAAAGGAATAAACAGTGTGTAAAATATAAATATTAAGACAGTGAAATAAATATTCTCAAGACCAAAAGGGTAGGGGTGCCTGGGTGGCTCAGTCGGTTAAGCAACCGACTTGGGCTCAGGTCATAATCTCACAGTTTGTGGGTTCGAGCCCCGCGTTGGGCTCTGTGCTGACAGCTCAGAGCTTGGAGCCTGCTTCGGATTCTGTGTCTCCCTCTCTCTCTGACCCTCCCCTGCTCATGCTGCCTCTCTCTCTCTCTCTCTCTCTCTCTAAAATAAATAAAATATTTATTATTTTATTAAAGAATATTAAAGAAAAAAAGTTAAAAAGAAAAAGAAAGACCAAAGGGGAAAACTGTACTTTCTGACTACCTAGTCCCTCTTGTGACAAAACAATGGTATGACATGGCTTC